AGACCATGCTTAAATGATGAGTGGGGCCATATTTCAGCTCATCTTATTTATGGACCTGAAATTTGCATTTGACATAATTTTCATGTCATGAAATATTGTTCTTTTGATTTTTTTCCCCCCTCAACCATTTAAAAACATAAACTCCATTCTTAGCTTGCAGTTAAGACCAAAAGGGTGGTGGGCTGGATTAGGTCGACAGGTGGCAGTCCACCACGTCCCTTATAGAAGTGATGGGTCAGGATGCAGACCTGATCTACTCCAGCCCATGTTCTTTCCACTGCACCATGTGGATTTGTTTTATAATTGAGGAGAGACCATGTTCAGAGACTTGAAATCTGGAGAGTTTTACTGCTGTTCCTACTTTAGAAATTAAGTACAAGACTCCAACATATTAAGCTCTGCATCCAAGGAGAGAGAGAGAGTAATCACCAGCAGCAGAGCAATTAGCAAAGAGAGAGCCAGGAGCAAGCCCAGCAAACACTTCATTGTCAGCTAGAGGGTTTGGCTAAAGGTACATTTAATACTCATTAAAAAATGAACATTGCTTTAACGCCGCTTCAGAGGCTGGTAAATTGTAGTTAGCTCTAAGCAATTCAGGAAGCAGTCCCATTGCCTCGAGGCTGACATCTACTCACAAACAAATCCTTTACGAGGCAGGGAGGTTGGCGGAAGCCCCATCTCAGAAAGGTTAGGCGTCCCCTGAAAAAGTCCAGACTGAGTAGAGCCCCTGATGAAAGGCAAGAGGCATGGTCATGAGTGGAAGAGAGAGTCGGCACTGATCCTACACAAATGCTGGCGTGCAGACTTGAGGTAGAGCCCCGCCGAGAAAAAGTTTTGAGAATTGCACCTGCTTATGAAAATAGTAATTACAAACACACTTCTATCAAGGTAGATTTTATCATTGTTATATTTGTTTTTCTCCTCCCATACCACGATGTACAACTACCCCTCTGAAGTGTGAAGCTGAACGCCTTCTCCCTAAACCTCTTCCCCCTGAGTAATTGTTGGGATAGAGTTGTTCATGGGAGCTGAGCAGTTGCTGGTGTGCTGTGGAATGAAACTTCCAGGGCGATTTTAAAATACATATTGCAGGATATAAGAAAATGCATTTTTAAAACCTTATCATTTTGTCTTCTGTGGAAAACAAAGGCAGTGACAAAGAGAATTCAAAATAAAAAGATTTTGTTGCCTGTGGTGCACTTGCAGCCTCACAATCTCATCAGAGCGCCAGGAGCACTAGCAGGTATTCAAGGGTCTCGCATCTGAAATAACAGGAGCGCATTGCCCAAGTGATAGATGACTTCAGAGAAATATACTTGAATAAGGAAATTAGTGAAGGATGGAAGGAAATGAGTGACAAACCACATGCATGTACATATGTGTCTTTTTAAAATTATTATTATAGATTTATGGCGTTTCGGATGTAGGGGGTTGATCATTTATACTCCCCATTTTCCTTTTGTTCTGGTTGATTTCATGACATTATAGAATTAACCTAAAAATGTAAAAATTAACCTAAAATGCTGGGCTTGTCTTTAAATTGCTTTTAGTTTTGTATTTGCCTACAACCTATATTTGAAGAACTTCCCGAGATCTGGGAGTTTGTATATGCACACATGGGGGCTTGTGGGACATGCTTTCATCAGACCGGCATTAATATATCTTGTATCATAATAAATATTCCATTCTATACTACTCTTTGAAGGGAAAAATGCATATTCATAGATGATTGTGAGCAAATAAGGGAGAAGAGAAGGAAGAAAGACAGTACGCAGAAGACAGACAATATTACTCCTGTCACCTAGATGGGTAGAAGATAGATAGACAGGTTCCAGCACATGATTTAACACAGAAACAAATATTTGGAGTGTTATGAACAAGTTTTTTCCATTTTTTTTTTTTTTTGCATGAAACACATAGAAAATGATAATAGTTTAAAAATACTCTATGGTAAATGGGAAGGAGTTTAAGAACATATATTTAGGGTTTGGTTAAAAATATTCTTTCATTTTACTTAGAGTATGAAACTAGCAAAAGAAAGAAAATGAAAAGCATTAGGAAAGATATCAGTTTTTAAAAATAAAACTTTCAATAAAATATGAAAATATTTTAAGAGAAATTTGAAGTAGTGTCTATGAATATATCCTTTTCATACCAGGTTTTGAGCTGAAAGGGCTATCCATAATTCCTAGTCAAGGCACTGCAATGATGGTTTCTTTAAATTTGTGGTATTTATGATCTATAAAATACTGTCATATGAGTAAATAATGTTTTTTTTAAAACCTTTCAGTCATTTACAATAGTTGATTTTAGTAGGATGTAGTAGATTTTTTCCCTTAAATTATTTACTATATTAAAATTTCTTGAAAACTGTGTTTGGATTTCAAACCCAAGTGAACTATTTCTATAGTGATCATTTCAGTAATAATGAAGCTCCAATTTGTAAACATGCATACATTTGTGAGGGCGATAACCCTGCAGTCGGCTTGTAGGCCAATGAAAGGCACATGCAGTAAATGGACATCAGAAAAGATAGTGTAGATGAGGATCCAGGGCGACTTCAGGAATGTAGTTCCCTTCCCCTGGCCCCTCGTTCCCCATTTCCCACCACAGGACTCATTTTATGGCGACTGCCACATACTTCTGCACTAGCTGTATGAACTTGAAGACCGCGCCTCCCGTCGGTAATGGGGAAGCCCGACTCTGCAGCTGGTACAGACGCTCAGGCTGGTGCTGACACTCCTCCGGGGCCACGCTCAGCCACTGCAGTGGGTGCCATGCTGCTCATGGTCTTCTTTCCTGGGGGCTCTTCACTTGGGCCTTTGAACCGCTTTATGGGGTGTCCATGGAGACAGGAAAGCGGTAGTTACATGTGCAGGCTTTTATCTACGTCCCTCAAATTTCCAACCACAAGAACCAGTCGCCAGTCTTGGAATGCCTCCTTTCATCTTCAAAGGAACTGGGACTCGGAGGGGCTGGACGCCACCTGAAAGTTTCTGCAGGAGAAATATGCTACCCAACTCTCCGAGCACCAAGTGACGGTGACGGAGGGCTCTCCGAGAGGCCCTGGGACTGAGAACTCTCCGGTGTAGGAGGGAAGTCAGCTCCTTACGTCTCCAAGTATGATTATGATGGAGAAAGAGGACATTTATCTAGATAGCCTTGAATAGTTTGTGACAAAATTGAAACAGAAAAATATAACACAGAACTGTTCAGCATACAGATCCCAGGATGCAGGCTGACTCCCACACAACTCTATTTCCCCCCATTTTCTCAGGAGCAGCATATGCTCAAATTCCAGAGAACAGGCAAGATTCAATTACTTAGTAGCCATTGAAAGCATATTTAAATGGTTTACTGTTGTCAAATTCAAAGTTTCTCAATGAAAGTATATCAGAATCACCAGAAGAGTGGTTTCAAAATATGTATTTTGCTATAGATAAATTAAGCAAATAAATAAGAAACTCCCCCCCCCCAAGCTACTGTAGTTTGTGACCTCTTAAACTTAGAGACCAATAAAGAAATATTATGTATCCAGAGGTAGTCTTAGATCATGTGTGGTGTGCGTGCATGCGCGCGTGTGTGTATTTGTGCACATATCTGTATATAAATAAAACCTGCTTCTCACCCTACACCTCGGTGCAAAACTGCCTAATTTGCCTTTAGAGCACTTAGTGTCCACGGAGGTCCCATCCTTATCTGCGTGCTGTAGGCAGAGTTAGGAGCGCTGGCCAAGCAGCCATGCTTCATACTCCCAGTTGAGGATTATTACTCTGACCATGCTTTCCAAGGCTATGGTTGGCAAGGGCAAAGCCAATATTTGCCCACAATAATTTAGGGAATTCTGGGGCCTCATTCAGAAACCTTAAAACATTTGAAGCTTCTGGGAGACCAGAGAGGGATTTATAGAGAGGGGCCCAGAGTTCTCAGAGCTGCTTTTCCTTGAAAACATAGATGTCTCAGTATTAGAATAGGTTATTTGGTCTTCACAATACCTCCTATTGGTGGGTAAATTCTGAAAATTTTCATATGTCAAGATGAATACAGTCTGTGAATACTTAATTATTTTGAGTTATTCTTTCCTGTTCTTCTTCCCACCTCCTTTTTCTTTTAACCTAGCCCTTTTCTCTAGAAAAATCAATGATACTAAACATTTACTAATATGGTCTTCAAGCCCATTAGAATCACATCACCTGGAGGCTCTTCAAAATACCTTTGCCTGGGTTGCACGCCCAAAGGTTTTGCTCTAATTGGTCTGGGGTAAGCCTGGGCACCAAGATTTTAAAGCCCCCCCAAGATTCTTATATGCAGCCAAGATTGAGAATCACTGCTTTTTTGGAGAAAATAGCCCTAGGCAGGAAATGAGAGATGTTAAAAAAAAAAAATAAGTGTGTACATTGCAACCACCCAACATTCTATTTCCAAGAGTGAAAGACACCATAGGGGTAAGTGATAACCCAGTCACCTTAATTCAGAATCTGCAGCTTTGTTCACTCTTTCATGTTATTAATTCACAGTCTCCACATTATTAATTTTCTGTGCCATAATGTTGACAAACATAATTGTTAATTACATACCACACGCTCCACCCTCACTGCAATGGTTTCTCTCAGAACGCGCACCTGATATAAAGCTATAGTGCAATGCCCCACTATATTAAATTTCAATTTAATTACCTTTATTACAGCATCACCTCCTTGGAGGGAATGATTAACTCTGAGATGGACTTATAATAGAAGACAAAGGTGCTGGGGGAGGCTTGCCCCAAAGCCCAGTGCTACTCTATAGGCTGCAGTCAGAGGCACATGAGCTGCAATAAAATGATTGAAAAATGAGCTTCCTTCTGTGTCCTCAGATCCTTGTGATGTGATCCCTCTGAGGTCCCTACTGGCACACACAAAACAAATGGCATAAGAAATCGGGCTTTAATGCACCACTCGTGTGTGTGTGTGTGTGTGTGTGTGTGTGTACGTGCACATTAGTTAAAAACAATCATTTCTGTGCTCACTTCGGCAGCACATGTACTGAAATTAGAACAATATAGAGAAGATTAACTTGGCCCCTGTGCGAGGATGACACACACATTCGTGAAGCATCTCATTTAAAAAAAATAAATAATTTCCAAATAATTAGCATAGGCGAGAATAAGAATAAGCCTGTGGACGGTACATGTTAACTACTTAATAATTAGTCTTTTCATAGTTAAACTTTATTTAGTACCCTGTAACTTTAAAAAAATCTTAGGGTGTTTTACTTTTTTTTTTTTTTTTAATCCTCACCTGAGGACATTTTTTGCATTTACCCAGATAGACCAGGAAGGAGAGAGTGGTGAAGAGAGAGAGAGAGGAGAGAAACATCGATGTGAGAGAGACACATCGACTGGTTGCCACCCACATGACCCTATCCAGGGCTGGGGACAAACTGCAACCGAGGTACATGCCCTTAGCAGGAACTGAACCCGGGACTCTGTGGTCTGCAGGCTGATGCTCTAACTGCTGAGCCAAACTGGCCAGGGCAAGGTGTTTTACTTTTAAACATCACTTGATGTGACTTTCCGAAAGACTCCCTGTAACCCTGGTTTTCAAATTGAAGAACTAGACACTTATAAGCTTACCAGAAGTAACTGTATCCCTAAATGAACACGGAGGGGCTTGACTCCCCTACACCTAGGACATCAAGTGACTGAGAAGAAACAAACTAGAAAATTGGCCCAAAGGGTTTTGAGACTCCATATTATTGAAGGAAAACAGGGCAAGAAATTTTATAATCATTAATTAAGCGTTTATACAGCAAATATGTACAGAAAGTACTTGGAGATCAGCAGCTGCCGGAATGGACTGACACCACTCCCTACATCTCTCACTACCAATTTTGCTCTTCTTAAACATGCGAGGAAATGAAGGCACATAGAAGTCAACTTGTCTGAATCTCAAATGCTGGCGTCTCACACAAGTGCAGACCATGCCATGGAAACTTGAATCACACAGTGAATTGGAGACATTAGCATGTAGCTAGGGCTCCAGCTTGAGTCTAAGTAGAACTCACTACAGGATACAAATACGTTGGTTATTGGCGATGAAGGAGGGAGAGGTGGAAATGTAAGATGCCTCCTTGGTGAGAATTCATCTTGAGGGAGAAGGAAGTGAATAATTATTCTAAAATGAGACAGCATTTTGAGTGAATATTATGTGCCTGTTACTCATACAGCCCTCACCGTCCACCCCAGGGAACAGTGGTAATATAGAGTAACACTTGAAACAGGTATGTCACTAAAATTTCTTCAACAGATTGGGGTGATGGATACTTATCTATTTAGGATTCTAACAAAGTAGAGATGAATGGATGAGATGTTTTCCAGGATGTGTGGATATTGGGAGCTGGAGGAGGCTTCGTGGCATCACTGCGATCCTTTCCATGAGTGTTAGTGTATTGGATGGACTAGCACAGTGGGAATGGTCAGTATCAGGCAGTACTCAGAGGGCCATACGGATGGGAGAGAGTGAGTGGGTGCTAGAAGTACTTATTTTTACCATCAGATTGGTGTGAACTAAGTAAAGATAAATGATCAAGTCCAAACAAAATCATCCTTGAATTATAAGTTGGCAGCCTACATAGCCTTAATATTCAATCTTGATAGTCTTTGTTCTTCATTAGAACTTGATACAATGTGCTGCCTGTGGAAGTTTAATAATATTTGTTCATTAAATCAGACCTGTATGAGCCATCAAGTCTCATGATTCCTCCTTTAGGTTTTTCCTTTCTGCATTTGAAGATGCTATGTGGTTTTACAAACTGCATCAGTCAGGAAAACAAAACAACTGGAAGAATTTCAAATGGGAGCAACTTAGAGGAAATTGATTGCTAAATATTGGAAGAGATAAAGGAGTGAAATGGAAGGGTTGGATTAAAAATTGCAAGATCACCCTTTCACCCTGTTAGCAGGAAGAGTAAACAGAAAAATACTGCCCAAGAACCCATGATCTCATTACTAATTGTACCTGTCGGTACACCAGTAGCTGCTGGTGGGGTCACAGCCATGCCACTACCTCGCAAGACCACAGGAATAACCTGATTCTTCTGCTACTGCTGCCGGAAGTGCTACCTGAAGCCAAAGGGAAGAAAATGTACTCGCATTCCCACTACAACTTCCTGCGAGGGCCTCCTGCTAGAAAAATATTTAAAAATGATAGAAGCCACTTGGCAAGGGAGCCTGTTAAATAAAGTTTGCAGACTTCCAACTTGCTTAAAAGAGAGGAACACAGATGCATGGGAACAGACCTAATTTGATAGAAATTATACAGTAATTGTCTGCCACATAGTATAACAAGAAAACCATTCATTTCTTCTTTTTGATTTGTGATTGATAGATTTAGCTTTAAATACTTGCTTCTGTCTACTAAAATTTTGGTTGCAAAACATTCATAAAAACAATCAGTAATATGCACAATCATTGTTATCTCCTATACAATCAGTATATATATTGTACATTTTATGAGACTCTTATTAGGCACACAGACTACCTGTGAACACTTAGAATAAGGAAGACAACACAATGAAGGAATTCTAATGCCTGACATGGGGCCAAGGACAGCGTCTGAGGATGAGATTTGATGGAAATAGCTTATGAAAATTTACTCCCATTAGAGAATGGCATTTTAATGCCAGCTCAATAACTTCCAGGAAATAAATGGAGACATTTTAAAAATCAAAGTAATTTAATTATGTAAGTGGAGCCTTATAAAAATTGATAATGGCACAGTATACCAGCCCCCCAAAACGACAAGATGAACCCCATCAGGAGAAAGTAATGAATCAGAATAAGTCTGGAAATGAGCTAAGAAGTAATTAATATCTCTGAATCTGTCTTGTGAAGCTATTACTTAATGTATGGTATTCTGAATAGAATGAAAAATATTTGGTAGCAAAAGCAAGATAATAACTAGATGATGGTGATCTCTAGGACTTTTCTGATACACATACTAAATCTTTCCTTTTCATTGGAGACAGAAGTGTTATATTTCAATTTTGGAGAGAGTAATCCTCTATATAAGGAAAATAACTCTTAAAGTATGCTAGCCGTCAGGTAGAATCCAAATGGCAAATAACAGATCTTCCCAAAAGCTGGACCTACAGACAATTCATGTTCTATAAAGAAAGTATCAAATGCAAATTACTGTATCGTTTTTATTTCTCTGTGATGGACTTCAGCATACATTACTGGACATTGCAAAACAAAAGCCACAGAATTGGTTTTGAAGTTCTCATCCTCCTTTATGTCTAATAACTGTCTGTTGTTCTTACACCAAGGATTCGGACTTTCCTTGTGAAGAAGCGATCACTTTACCCGAACCCCAGAAATGGCTCTGGTTCAAAAGAGACAACGAGGTAAACCCCTGAGCAGGCAGGAGAGGCAGCCTCCAGGTACACTCCTCTGGCAGGTGTTTAAGGGCAGGAGGAGGGGAGACACCCCCCAGCAGCACTGCCCTGAAGTCAACCTGCTAAAGGTCAGGACTTTGGACAATCACTAGCATTCAGGTGGTACCTTGCAAAAAAGAACCACAAGCTGCACAGAAGAAAGGAACTGTAAGAATAGGATATTAGAAATCTGGGCCTTGTGTAGGCACAAGTTACCTGTTTGTAATTCCAGGACAGCCTCTAGCCAAGGAATGGCTTCAAGTTTGGTGTCTTCTCATCTTCCATTTCCACGCCCAGTGGCCGCTTTCCTCCCCAACCCGGCAGCTATCCTCATTTCCTCCTATGAGAAGATCTGTGCCTGTTTGTCACAACATTTGCTCTGTTGAAACACGGGGGTGCAGATTCTATATTTCGTGAAAGAGAGATGTGTTTGTATGAATGGAGTAGTCTTACACCGATGACCTCTGAAACTGGAATGTCCCACTGTCAAAGTGAGCTCATTTAGATTGGTGAGGCTTCTTTTTCTGTCCCATCAGTACATAGTGCCATATTTGACGATTTTTGTTGTTAGAGATTAGATCAAACATAATGTGTAACAGTAGACGAGTTTTAGATTCTTACTCTGTGAAATGTGGAAGCTACAGATGTCTTTAGGTTTCTTCCACCGTCAAACCTATTTGTTACACCATATACTGGAGAGTCAGCAAAGATTATCTGCTGAAGGAACTGAGAGATCACTGATGAATGATCTGGCAAGAAAACTAAGCTATTGGTCAAATTTAATAGGTAGGAAACAGATTAGATGAGGACAAGACCAGGTTTCAAAAAGGGAAAAGACCGAGAAACCCAGAGTAAAACTGCATATACAATATTTAACATGTTTTCATATTTCTTGAAATGCAAACACCATCTTGCCTGCTCCCTCTGGAGCAGAGTAGCAAACACCACTTGCCTCCACCTCATATTCCATGGGATCAAGACGCTGTATTCACAGTGTGTAAACCAAGTTAGGTATTTTCTGATTGGAAGAAAAGAGAATGAGTTATCCCATGACCAACAATGACCAAAAAAATCCTGATAGTTTCCAATACCAAAGTGGCTCCAGAGAAAGCTACTAAAGCCACTTATCGCTTGAAGGTATAATATTTTTTTTATTCTATAAGCTGTATCGAAATCTGAATGTATTATGAATCGTGATAAAATGGCCTTTCCCCTTGGCCTTTAGAAGGTGCGTGCACTCAGAAGGATGATGCATTACAGGGACACACCAGGTGTCTGCAAGAGAAGGATGGCCCACTTTGATCTCCCAACAAACGGTGTGTGACTCAGTGTCCCACAGAGTGGATGCAGGGCACAGGAGGGCCTTTTCACTAAAGCACCCAGAGAGAAAAACATGAGGTTCTTACGAAGTGGTTTGTTTTAGCCCTGAATGGAAGAAGAAAGGGCAAGAGGGAAAGGACGCACCATTTCTCGGCGTAAAGATCCAGCCAGGCCTGGTGTGATTTTAATCATCCTCAAGCGTGTTTGAGAAGACTGACCGCAGAGCCGAAGACTGTCTCAATGCAGCAGGTAAGAAATGCTAAGGCAAAAAGTAGCTGGTCTGTAAACAACCCACAAAGCCAATTGCTAGTTGATACTTCCTGAACTAAAATTCTTTGAGTTACAATGGGAACAGCTTCTCAGTAAATGAAG